GGACATTTATGGTTTGATTTCTTTGTATGTATGGATCACTTGGTTGTTACCGACATCTGGTGAAAATTTCATGTCATTAGCACCTCTAGTAATATATTTAATGAGAAAAATGGTGACGTGTTCAATACTTATTTTACCCGCTGTATTAGCTAGTCTTTAAATGTCCGTCAATGCAGATCAGGATCTTCTTTTTCTTAGTTCAGCTGCTCCCTCTTCATCTCACTGTCCTGTGTGTCCCCCGTCCTCACTCTGACCTCTCACTGCATTCATATACAGCATCTCCTCTCTAGCCTTCCTCTTTGTCATTTTCCTGGCAGTTTCATTTTTAACATCCTTCTACCAATATACCCACAGTGTCTCTTCTGCACATGTCCAAACCATACAAATATTTATACAGTGCATCATCACCAGACTTTTATCTAAAATATCCGATGAAGAACACTTTCGGGGGTTGGAGGAACGTGGCGTTATAACAAACAAACTTCTGACAGAAACTCAACAATCTTACATTTGCAGCAGCTGTCAATATTAGGATGAACAGGTATGATCTTGAAGAAATCCAGAGGCCTGCTATGTCGACTGAGAGATGTAACTCTACATCTAAAAAAATAAAAATAAAAATCAGCATCCAACCAGTGTAATCATTYGTAGCCATTGATTCCAAATGTATCATTGAGGTATTTACTTAAAATTAATATTCACATAATTTTTTGTCCTTCTAAACGGGCAAGGTTATAAAAACGGACTTTGAGTTTTTTTTTGTCACATTTAAAGTCACCGGTTTCCTTAAAACTCAAACAGGTTTTCTTTATTCATATCAGTCAGCGGTGCAAAACTTTGAAACTTGCTAACTGGACAGAAAACAGAAAAACAAAGTAATTATTGCTATCTCATTCTGGCTCCCGTACTTTAAAGAGTCAACAACAACAGAGCAAACTCGTGAGTTTTTAGCTAACCTGAGCTAGCTAGCTCTCCTTCCAAATCGATAGCCGCTGAGCCCAAAACGCTCGCAGTTTAACTCTTTTTTTTACGTTAATATCGCCTGGAAAAATAATTAAAACATATTACGTACGTGTTATTCCTGTGGTGGAATTTTAATAGACAAAACTATTGCTTTGCGACTCGTCCAAAAGCAATAAAAACACAAACCGGCGGCGCCGCTTTTCAAAAACACTGGCGACGTCACTTCCGGTGTTGAGCCGAGTTACGTATCCCTCCCAAACTGCTGACTTCAGCAGTTTGAGGAAAAACTCGGAATCGCACGAAACTTTCATAATTTTATAGTATTCACAGGTTTTTTATTTGAAGTCAGACTCTGGACACATGTAGGTCTGCATGCGTTTTACGCTCTATATTCAAACTTATTARATAATCGATTTTAACCAAGGGTCAAAAAGGCTCGAAATTTCCGCCTGGTAAATTTTGGCCTATTTTACCTGTAAAAAAAGGACAATAATTGTCCTGTGAGTAAATAATTTAACACCATTTTCAATAACAATTATAATTTTCATTATCTGGCAGTTTTTTAAAACAGGCTGAACATTTTGTTTCGTATAATCTTCGTGTTTTCTTTCTTTAAAAAGATTTCTAAGCTTAATTCTGTTCTCAAAATGTAATAAAAATAGGAAATGTGACCAGTTTGGAAAACATTTTYAAAAATAAGACTCACCTATATTCTCTCTTCTCAGTCTTTTCATGTGCAGTTCACATTTTTAAATACATTTTTTTATTGACATATTTTCTTTTTGGAGCTCATTTGTATCGATTAGTTTTGCTCAGCTGTTCATTTCAACCACCAGATTCCTTATAAAATACTTTATATTAATTAACACATATTTCCAAAGTGACAGACATAAAACTATTAAAGAGTCCAAATGGAGCTCATAAAAGCAACAAAGTAAAATTTACAACAGGTCTACTTTAAGTTCTTTTCATGGGTATTTGTACTTGGTGTAAAAATAATATTCTATACAAACCCTGAGATGGACATGAAAACAATCAAAAACAAATATTTGACTAAATGCTTAGGCTTCTAAAACCTGACTGGGCAAATAATAATTAAAAAAAAAAACAACAAGATGTGCATCTTCCTTCATAATTGTTTTCATTGTTTCCCAGCAGAGGGCAGTCTACTGTTATCAAGGAGTTATCTGAGACAATTCAATTACTGCTTTGTTTGTTGGATTGTTTGTTTCAACTGTGAATTGGAATATGAGTATAAAAC